ACTAAACGATATTTATGCTTTCCAAGCTTTGCTGTATATATTTAAAGACGGCTCAACGTTTTTATAAAAGTCTCTCTGCATTTCTTTAGCTCGCTTTCAAAAATATATCGGTAGCTGTCTAGTTTATATAATCCTACATAAATTTCTCTGTTTATTATTTAATTTCCTTATATCTACTAACGTATACACATTAATTTATATGTGGTAAGTAATAAACGATATTTAAGCTTAGATAATGTATATTTAACTAATATTTGGTTTTATCTTTATTACAAGAGAATTCTCTAAATATGGACTATTTTGTTACAAAGTTAAAGAAAATTTTAAACTTTTCTGCAATTCTATAGATAATTACTCCAGTTTATCTTCTAGTAATGGAACCTCTTTGCATCTGTGATTAAAAGAAAGATAAACCCCCGAAGAAGGAGGAAGTTTTTGAATTTTCGATAGTGTCTAGAAGAGAGTTAGTGCCAGCTGACACAGATTACAGTAGTTGCTGGCACAGCTGACTCCCACTATAGTAGTTAGGAGACAGTTACTACACGTCAGGTTTACCTCTTGATATTACACTTTAGAATTTATCCGCTGTTTTCGTTTATTCTCCTAACAGCAATAAAAATAACAATAAGACTAGATAGAAACTCTTTAATTTTCCAATTTATCTTCTCGACTATTTTGTTAGCGAAGAACGTAACTGGAAAGGGTAAACTAATGAGTTTTAAATTATATAATTTCTTTAGATAATGCCAGGACGCGTAACAAACAAAGAGAGTGTAGAGAAAACTGCTAGCGCATATTACATTATTGATGATAAATGGCATTTAGACGAAATCCTTTTAAAGATATCATTACTTAAAGATAAGTTTATCCAGTCAAATTTTAGATTAGGCGGACAAATTGCAGCATCGAGATTTATCACGACTTCATCAACATATCAGTTTTATAAAAAGTGCAATTTTTCAAGTCAGATAGAGCATCTTTGTTCCATGCATACATTCATCAGTACCGGAAAACATTCTAGAAATCAATGAAAAATTTGTGAACTCTTATTCAAACATTGGAAAAGAAGATAGCTGGGTTACTACAACGTCATTTTTTATCCATAATCTCCTGAATGATGTACGTCGAAAGCAGAAAAACGCATTTTCATTCAATCTTATACAGGTGAAACTCTTCTTTTTTACTATTCTTTTTTTTGAAATATCACTCTACGTTCGTCGAGTTTTAAAAATTTTAAGATGAAGAAATTCATTTAAAAAAAAAAATACATCAGAGAGAATGAAGACAAAGAGATGGCTGGGAAAAAAGATATCGGAGCGAATAATAGACGTTAACTACAAAAAACTAAATTTAAAAAAAAAGGAGAACAAGCAATAGCTACAGTATAAAAATCCCCATCAGAGAAAGCAATAAACATTAACTAAAAAGAAAAAAAAAACAAACTGTGTAATAAACATTAAACAAACCTTCTCCTGTATGTAAATTAGTTTAATTTAACATTCGTTAATCCGTTTAAATCGAAAAACATTTAAAGTAGTACAAATCTTCATTCCTTAAATCTTGAATTAAACGAGACAATTAAAATACTTTTTATTAGGTTTAAAACTTCTAAAAACTGCCAAGTAAAATGGATGAGAGGAGCTTTCCCACTTAAAGCAAACTCGTTTTCGTGAATAAATTAATACAGCGTAACGTCTTGACAATTATATAGTTCTCTATAGGATTACATTAATTACTGCCAGTATGCAAATTAGCCGGCTGTTTTTTTTTAAATTGTCTAAGATACTTGAAGTAAGACGAAGTGGAACCAAGAAATTTTACTTCCAACTGTTGCTGTCAAAACTCTTTAGCATAACATCGAACCGATCTTAATGATATTAGCGAGATAATTTATTCGGTCAACCCATTTCATTAGTAATTATCTTGATTGTGGATATTACGAAGTATGCTATATTAAATTAAGTTCCTCTCCGAAGAATAAGCAACATTACGCTACTTTTACTTATTTTCTCCAGCTTTGCTTCTAATAAAATACGATTCAAAGACAAAAATTAACACAAAAATCTAAACAGTAAAAGGAAAAGAAAAAAAAAAATATGGTAGATGGAGCGATGCGTGAAAGAACAGCTCGGAGGACGGCGTGATAAATTTGTTACCTAATGAATTAATGGTCAACCGCAGGAGCATCACGCTTGTAACGATACAGTAAATCTTATAAAAGTAATTTAGCAGAATTGGCATTTTGTATGTAAATCAAAATCATAATTGCACGTCCTCCAGCAAAATATACAAATATAGTTTTAAAATTTGATTTTAAATTAAGGAACAACGATTAGCCTGCAGGAATTCGATTTTAACGTCGATTTTCATTTAATTCTATTCTTAAACACAATCAACCCGTAAAAACTTCTCCCCGGGATATTACTCAATCGATAGGAGAGATTAAAAAAATTATCGTAATCTTTATTATTATTTTGTATCCATCTTTAAAAAAAAGAAAAATTGAGTTAAATTATCTACGAAGAAACTTTATAGACTTCGAAATGTATAAAGAATAGGAAATTCGATTTTGATTTTAAAATATCGGAAATTTAAATTCTCCTTTCATCTTTTATTTAAAGGTTTATATTTTTTATTTTTTGACGTATGGTCCTTCCTATTTTTAAGCAGTTTCGTATAGAAGATTCCGTTTTAATATTGATGTATACCTGTAAAATATTCGGGTTCAAAACTTATTTTTAAAGATAGGTCATAAGAAAAAAAAAAATAAGTAGACAATACGTATATATACCAATCGTCCGAAAATTTCTGATATTAAATTCGGGTTATATTTTAAAGTGAATTACTAGGAGAGGCTTAAATAAAGGTCAAACTGTCATAGAGGGGGAAAAAAATCTTGTTTGGATAAAAGAGACGGCTTAGCATTATCGAAGATTACAAGGAAACCCTTTAACTCTGAATGAAACTCCAAAAAGGGTTTAATACTGCTTAACACGAGCAGGTACATCGCCGATGCACAGTCGTAAATTCTACCTGGATAGCCTTGTTAATGGGTAACAAAGCGGCCATTACTGCACTCATAAACGTTTATTGTCGCCGTGAGAAGCGAGAATGGAGTAGAATTCATTTTCTCTAAATGGCAAAAAGAACTAGATACAAAAATACCAGAAAGATCTACATTCGTATCATTAGTCGACAGCTATTTTTATTTTATTATACAAACATTAGGAAACGAAGGAACGGATAAAAAAAAATCCTCCTTAATGGCTCATCCCACATAAAAGCCTGGGCTAATTTAATGCTCTTGTTTTCTTCTACAGAGAATTCTCGTCACCTCAAAAACTACTTCTAGTCCCGTTTTATTGGAGCAACGGTAAATATAGAATAATAATTCGGCCGTGTAGTCTACACGGCAGGTTCCATTCGAATGGTTCGGAAGGGTGCAGAGAACTCTCATAATTTTTGATTGGAGAAACGGCTCCGTAAAGAACTTATTACGGTCGAAAATTTTTAATAAAAGATCTTACAGTAAATTTACGCGGAGACTCATGACCCTTATTCGAATGCCATTTAGTAGTAATTGACGCCGAGGAATGCTTAATCTAAGCAAGTTCACTTGAGAGAATCGGTGGTTTCCCTTTGAGCCAAATAACTCCAGAATCAATTTTCCAGCTGACTAAATCTCTCGAGCCACCTGAACTGGAAAGACAATCACGCGAGATCGCTAGAGATTCCGCCTGTACAGAGTGCACGAAGAAGATCATTGTAAATCAACCGCGCCCTTGAGCAACTACGCATTCCGCCCGATAATTTATGGCACCCACACTAACACGAATTTCGCATTTTGTGCGGGGTACGCTCCGGGTTTTCTTACACTTTTTTTAAATAATTCGAATACTCCTTTTAAGTAAAATGTTAGTCAGTGTTACGAGTCGTGATAAATTGTACGGGTAAATATTATAAATTCCATCAACGATGATTCCCGAGGCTGCGGGACGGCACGTCGGAGTCATCTGTCATCGTGATAGAAAATGGCTCGAGGCGAGAGTCAACACCATTCTATTATCGCTCGTGACTTTAGTACGTCACTTAATTAAAAAAAAGAAAAAAATTGCAGGCCTGTTCGATTTTCCCTGTTAATTTGACAATTGTTAAAAGATGTCGCCGTTAAAAAGCAAGCTCTTAATTCATTTACTTTACATTGACGCATTAAAAAAATAAATAGAGGAGAAATCGAAGTTTCTACCCGATCAAAAATGTCTTAAATATTTTTTTCTTCCGTTGGTGACTTATGAAGAAAAATCCTCTAGAGACTTTTTTACTGTCTAGAAAGAATATTTATCACAGTTTTCTCCCTTAAAGTTCTGTTATAGATAACCGAGTTGCACTTCAGGTTAGAAATCCATCATTGTTCATCGAAAAACATTAATGCAGAGCTAGCTGGATCCGGATTTATTTTTCTCTTCTTCTTATTTAAATAACAGAATGACTAATCTTATTTATATTTCGAATTTGTTGACAACCGACAAAAGTTGCAACCGACCGAGATATATCCAAACCCAACTCTGTTATAGCATTATTTCTTTCTTTCTTTTTTTTAATATGAAGGAAACCAAAATATTGCACTCTCCCCTTTGAGCTTGGCAATATTTCTACTAAAATTTCTTTTTCTCCGTTTTAAAAAATATTTTATTCAATAACTAAACTATTTTTAGCTGTTTTTTCCACTGGCAGATTCGTTTGATTCGCTTTAGAAAGATTTTTAACTGGAAAAAACGTTGCAGTTTGTGTTCCGACTTGGTTTACGAGTCCATTATTTCTACCGTGTGATTCTCATATTTCAATTTCTCTTAAATTCTTTCCTTTTTTTAAAAAAATAACGTCTCGACACGGATAACTTAAACTGCACGCAAAGCTGTTGTGCAGCGCTATATAAATTGCTTGAGCAGCATTAATTAAATGAACAGCACCGACCGAATTGTGTTAGTCGAGTGCGAGACTACGTACCAAAATAAAATCGTTTATTTTAAGCTCGAAAGTGATCTTAATTACAAGAATTTCACGCGTAATATAATCTCGGTGTAAAATTTACTGTAGTAAAAATATTATAAAATAAAAAATATATATTATCTTTGCAGGTTGGAAGATTTAATATAAAATAATTTCTGAGATAACAAACTAAAGGAAATCTTACGTATCCTAACGACATAAATTGGTAGAGATTAACCAGCTGAAATAAATATTCCGTAAATTATGCTTTAAAAAATACTTTTCTTACCGAATTCTTATAAAATTATTCTTTCGTTGCCAATTAATAATAATTTCTACTTATGACAACCAGCAGATGCTTGAAATTATATTAATTCTACGGAACTGATATCTAGAAAAACGTTAAAAAATCCGTAAATATTTTAAATTATTTTTTATAAAATAAATAGTACTAATATATAATTATTTTAAAAAGTTATCTATGGTAAAAAAAAAGCATAATTATTAATTCTTTGAAAATCCAGTAATCGATTTTTTTCATTTAATACCTTCATTTTCATTGTTACAGTTGTGCCAGTCAAATGATGTATGTAATTAAAAGAACGACATCGATTTTAATATTGTAAATTTATTTAAGTTATAACAAAGAAATTACATACCTATTAATTTTACGAAATAACTTTCTTATTAAAGGACAATCTTTTATAAATATTAATACATAGAAGGGATCAATTTTAGTTTAATTAAATGAACTTTACGGTGCAAATTGTTATTTCTTGCTAATAGTGTGATACATTCATTTAAGCAATTCTCATTCACAATTTACATTTAGAAATATGTCAATCATTTATTTTTTTTTTTTCCGAAGGTACGACGGCAGAAAAGGATAGAGACGTAAAAATGAGGTTATATTAAAACGGAAAACATTTGTTTTCTTCCTGTTTTAAGGATTAAATATGCTCTTGTTTCTAATATTGTATTTGACTTTCCGTTTCTCTACATTTTTTCTGATCAATTAGCACTGCTCTACATTATAAAATACTTCATGCTAGAAATGTGCTTACTTTGAATTTCCTACTTTAAATATGTCTATATACTTTTACCGTTTAAAATTAAAAAAAATTCCTTATCGAAGCATTTAATTTAAGTATCTTCGTAAGCTCAAATACTTTTCGTAAAAAAAACAGAAACAATTAATATATATTAATGTCTATTTAAATACATTATAAAAATAAAATAATTAAAATATAAAAGAAAAACTATCTTACAATTATGCACTCAACAAGAATAAATTAATATTTGCTTTTTTTTTCCTTTATATTCTCATTTAAAGTACAGGTATTATATTCTTTTATCTCTAATATCTTTGATAGGGCACTTCGGAATCACTTGTGGTCGCCGGGATATCTTTTTCGGGTGTCGTAGCGATGCTACGTTCGTTCGTTCCGTATGTCTGATTTCTGCTGTTGCTTATAAAGAAATCTTGCGAAGAAGAATGATGCTTCAGTATTTTTGGGGTAAATAACTGAAAAACAAAATTTTTTAAATAATAATTATTATAATCATCCGTAAATATCAATTGAGAATGCGAGTTTATCAATTTAGCTAACATAGAAAATGATAATTTCATTAAATTATTTCTTTTTTCCTGTCTAAAACAATACAGATTTAATATTCAAATCTTACCGACTGTTTTGTTTACTTATATTGTTTTTGAATAAATATTTTTGTCATCGAAATTATATAGATGACGTTTAATAATAATAATAATAATATATAATGAAAATATTCGTATTTGCCAACTATAAGGTTTTCTTTGTTGGTGAAGAGCGAATTATATAATTACTACGTAATACTTATAAATCACAAACTCGACAAGATGAGCACTTTTCTTAGATTTTAAATGCTAGAATATGAATTTACTATTGTTTTTTTTTTTTTCGATTAAACACGAGATTAAATTACTCGAAATTGTTTAGTTTTAAATGTTTGTTTGATAAATGACGCAGCCAAACGGAAATTTTAAAAATTTCAGATTCGAATCTCTAGTTACTGTAGATATATCATTTCTATTTTGTTTGTTTTTTAATTAATAATCTTTAAACAGAACCAAAAAGTTAAGATTAAAAAAACAACGCAGATGTCTGCTACAAAAAAAAAATCTAATGATAATGAGAAATCATCACATTTATGATTGATACATAAATTTACTTAACAATAAATGAATGCACTGCATAAAATCTTGTCCTATGCACCTGATATTCAGAACGCATTTAAAGGAAAAAAAACAACTGAATTTTGAAAGTTCTGAAGACAAATTCAATCATATCAAATCATCTAAATCAAATATGGCTTTTTTACGTAATTTAGAGTACCAAAATTTTTTTGTAAATTATTTATAACGAATGAAATTAAATTAAATAGATATAAATCACAAAAACTTCAACGAAAAAACAAAATAAAAAAAATCTAGACAGTAAAGGGGGGAAAAGCTGGATAGATTTAACATCTGCACTTTTTTCTTCAATATCCAACCAGGCGATGGATATTGAACTAATCATTCCGGACATTTTGATCTGGAATAACTTTTGATTGAAGGCACGAATAATTTTTTCCCCCAGATTTTTGCTCTTTAAATCGAAAATCCAGACAGCATCCACGTTTTAAAAATACATTTGTAACATTTCCATTACTTTCTTCCAGAGCAATTTTCAAATCACAACAAAAATAGAAAACTATACCAAAAATTCTACGAGTATAAAAAAATCAATGTAAAAAACAGGGAAATGATTGAAACTGCTATGAAACATTCCTATATAACTAAAGGAATACTTCGAATATGCTCTATATATCACACAGTTTACATAGAACAATTAGAATGATCAAAGATAATGTGCATCATCTCTCTTTAAGAAAAAGAAAAGATAAAACTTTAAATCTCTAATCAAAAATGAAAAACATTATATGCTGTAAATCTTTTAAAGCATGAAATAGAAGGATGTTTCAATCAAATTCATAAACAAAATGCAATTTGGAAGTTTCTAGTGATTAAAAAACAAAATCTAATAGTCTCTTCTACCAAAGAATGAATAATAATAATAATAATAATAAAATATTGCAGGCATTTATTCATATATAAATAAATAACTGCAATATTATATTATTATGATTTGGCAAATTTCAACCTTCTTTAAAAATCATTAAACAGTTTACTTACAATTATTGATTGTTTAATGAAAATTGATGTTAGAATTTTATATATTATCAATGTCTTGAGCTAAGTTATTTTTTGAAAAATAATCTGATAATTTCAATAATTAAAATAGCTTTTTAATATCATTGTATCTCTTTAAATAACAATTGGAAAAGTGATATAAGTTACAAAANATTATAAATGAATTAATTAATTTAAATAATTTAAAACAGCTGGGAAAAAGAATCGGCTTGGAACGGGACTCGAACCCACAACTCCTGCTTTCCGTGCAGATGGGTTGCCAGTCCGATCTCCTCTTCCAGCGTATAGAAGCTAACGTTATACCCATCGACGGTTATTTTATATATCGGGTTTACCGATGTTTGTATATTATGAAATAGCAAAAAGCTTTATTTTGACGGTAGAGATGAATTTTATAAGATAATACAAATGCTAATAAGTGAAAAACGTCAATAATTCTGACTTTACTCGAAATATGAGACACGAGTTTCCTTTAACTCGCTATTCCTTGACTTTAACTCCAAAAATATATCATCAATCCCTAATAAACAAACCTCCCTGGGAATTTTCAAAAATTTTCGACAGTAGACACAAGAGTTATAAACATTTAACATGTGTTAGTGTGTTTGGGAGCACACAAAACACACTAACACTCGCTGATACAGAAAAAACCTTCAACTGTTTTCTGACGTTTCAAGATTTTCCGGTCTAAAAATATAAAAAGTCTTGAAGACGGGAGTCATTTTTTGGCCAATCTCCATGCTTACTGTTTATTATATATAACATCCCGAAAAGTAAATACTGTATTACAAAAATTCGCTTAATCGAATCTAAAATTATATATCAATTCTAAGTTTACTCAACATTATATTTATACTCAACATAGTAAAATAGAAAGAACCTTAATTTTCTTCTAATTTTAATTAATATTTCTACTTACTTATAACCTTTTTAAATGCTTGAAGTGCTTTATCATCCCACGGAAATTCCTCTTCTTTTTCTTTCGGAAATATTGAATCTTTAATCTCCATTGCGCTTATAAAATTCTGTAAACATTATATAATTTCAATTGAAAATGTTCGAACGTTTATGATTAATATTTAAAACGTTTTACGAAAACAAAAATATACTTTATTTTCATCCTTAAAAGTTTACTCAGATTAGAAAAGAACTGGCATTTTTATTGCAATTTTCTTATTAATTACCTAGGTAAATTTAATCTCTACAATGTCACAATTACTTGTTTGTCAAAAATCTAATCATTAGCTTTGCATAAATAATTATAATCGGCTTTATTAAAGACTTAATAAGGTTCAATTCAATAATCTGTCGTTTTTATCCTTTAATGTTGTTTTATTTTTCATAGTCTATATCAAAACAGAGAGCAAAACAGGACTGAAACAAGGAAACTCTCTGTCTCCCGTTCTCTTAATAACATCGCTGTAGTAAATGTCAGAATGGCCCAGGAGATAAACAATAAAAAGGAAAATGACTTAAGTGACCAATTGCCACTACTAGCGCATGCAAATGAGTTTTTCATAATTGGAGCATCTCAAGGAGAGGTGACGAGATTAACGTCATAATTAGCAACAGCTGGCAAGATCATGGGTCTAATTATCAATGAAGAGAAGACTGAATGGATAGTTATTTCTAAAGAGGAAGAATCCCACAAATAACATTTAACCGACAATATGACATATAACATTACGGAATCCTTCGAGTAGGGGAACAGGATTTACATACAGGGAGCAAACCAATTCCCTCACATGAAGTGAGTGAATTGGTTTGCTCACTGTCCTACACTCAGACTGTGACAACTCGTCAGAGTGAATACTTGGTTACCGAGATTTGCTTTGTCGTTGATCAATATACCTTGTGACCTGATTTTTTGATGAAATTACAAGTGTAGTGACATTAAAACAATGAAAGTATAGGGTATATTTTATAATTTAAACAAATTTATATAGTCTAGTTTATTAAAGATTTGTTNCTTTTCTCTTTTAAAAAATTTTTTTTCGTAAATAATAAAAACAAATACTATAATCAGTGAAAATAAAGTGTTTATAGACAAAATAAAAAAACAGCGCGTCTCTAGCGCAAAAATTAAAAAAGATATAGCAGTTTTAAAATATTTTACAAAAAATCCAGGCCAGGGAACTTGTCATTTTAAAAAAAATTCAGGGTTCAACCGGCTAGTCAAGTTTAACATATACAGTATACAAGTAGTTTATTTATTGCCAGTTCATAATGCCTGCTAGCAGTTTTTAATTTATACTTTTAATTTATTTAATTTAAAATATATGCAGTACTCTACACCTCAAATGAGTCGTTTCGGGTTGTTTCTTCAGTATTTTAGTAAGGTTTAACCAGGAGCATGTCGTGCACAAATATGGAAAAAGCCAAAAACTGTTCTTTATGCCTTGAAAGATATCTCCAAGAATAATGAAAATCAAAAGAAGAAGAAAGAAGAAACGTGTTTTAAAAGTAAATTAAAAGAGTCAAGTAAGATTATACAAGATGTATTTACTAAAGATGTTGCAGAATCATGTTCTATTTCCAAGAAAAGTAACAAAAGTAAATAAAAGTATGTTAATTGTAAATAAAAAATTTGATTTTCTTCACAATACAATCTAAAGCTTAATAGTAATTCTTGTCCTCTTTGTCGAAAATTTTTGAAACTTTTCAGAGAAGTTTGTATATTAGAAGGATTGATGCATTTGGTGGTTAACCCCTTGATCTGCGATCAATTTTTGATATTAATGTAATTAAACATAAAAAATACTTAAAANATCTAAAGCTTAATAGTAATTCTTGTCCTCTTTGTCGAAAATTTTTGAAACTTTTCAGAGAAGTTTGTATATTAGAAGGATTGATGCATTTGGTGGTTAACCCCTTGATCTGCGATCAATTTTTGATATTAATGTAATTAAACATAAAAAATACTTAAAACTGAAAAAAAAACGAAAGAAATGCGTTAATTTTGAAGAAAAAGCTTCAAACTTTATTTTCCATTGTCTGGCCATTCTGCGAAATTTGACAATGATGAGTCATTGTGTTTACAGCTGGATGACCTTGCGAATAGTTGGTGTTGGATTTCCCGGGACATTCTCATAGACGTCTCGGGAGGACAAGGGTTTAAATTTGGGTAAATACTAGCTGGAGGTNAAAAATGAAAAACATTATATGCTGTAAATCTTTTAAAGCATGAAATAGAAGGATGTTTCAATCAAATTCATAAACAAAATGCAATTTGGAAGTTTCTAGTGATTAAAAAACAAAATCTAATAGTCTCTTCTACCAAAGAATGAATAATAATAATAATAATAATAAAATATTGCAGGCATTTATTCATATA